AGATGAGGTACACCTTGTATGTCTTCTGGCAGATGCTAAAAATATCAGCTTTGAAGAGGCGGTGTGAGACACGAAGTGGCAAACTGCCATGGATGAAGAGATTAAAGTGATCCATTGCAACAACACATGGGAAGTAACAGAATTACCGGAAGGAAGTCAACCCATAGGTGTGAAGTGGGTATTCAAGAAAAAGATGAATGCTCAAGGCGAGATTGAGCGGTACAAAGCGCGACTTATTGCGAAGGGATATAAGCAAAAGGCGGGAATCGACTATGACGAAGTGTTTGCTCCCGTCGCTAGAATGGAGACAATCTGATTGATAATTTCCCAAGCAGCCCAATTTAAATGGCTGATTTTTCAAATGGATGTCAAATCAGCATTCTTGAATGGTGTGCTTGAAGAAGAGGTATATCTCGAACAGTCTCCCGGGTACGTGAAAATTGGAGAAGAGAAGAAGGTATTAAAACTAAAGAAGGCGCTTTACGGGTTGAAACAATCACCGAGAACAATCTCCCCACGAACATTCACTCTATATAAAGAAGAGTGGAGGTAATGTGATACTTGTCGCTCTTTATGTCGACGACCTCATCTTCTCAGGCAACAATGATGAAATGATAGAAGAATTCAAAAGCATAATGACGCGAGAATTGGAGATAACAGACTAAGGCCTGTTAAAATTATTCCTCGGTTTGGAGGTTAAACAAGAGGAAACAGGTATTTTTATATCATAGGAGAAATATGCGAAGGAAATCTTGAAGAAGTACAAGATGGAGAATTGCAACCCGGTATCCACACCAATGGAACCAGGTGCAAAGCTCTCAAAGTACGATGGAGGAGAATGAGTAGGTACAAGTAGGTACCGAAGCCTGGTGGGAAGCTTTCACTATCTTACATGTACAATACCAGATCTTTTACCAAGTATCGACATAGTAAGCTGATTCATGGAGAAGCCAATTTATTCACATTGGAAGGCATTGAAGCGAATCCTATGATACGTTCAAGGAACATTGTCACTTGGATTATTTTACTCAAGAACATAAGATTACAAGTTAGTTGGTTACTCCGACAGTGATTGGTGCGGAGACATAGACGATCGAAAAAGTACATCAGGTTATGTATTCTTCATAGGCAATACAACATTATCTGGCTTTCAAAGAAACAACCTATCGTGACACTCTCGACGTGTGAAGCTGAGTATATAGCAGCATCTTGGTGTGTGTGCCACGCAATATGGCTTATAAATTTGTTGAGTGAGATGGAAGTAAAGCAACGAGGTGCAACCAAATATAAGTTGACAATAAATCAGCAATTGAGTTGGCCAAGAACCCAGTGAACCATGAAAGAAGTAAACACATTGATGTTCGATTTCATTTTATCCGAGATCATGTGAAGGAAGGAAACGTGGAATTACTGCATGTGGCAAGTCAGGATCAAGTTGCGGACATCCTTACAAAACCGCTACCGAAAGTACTTTTCGACAAATACAAGAAAATGATTGGCATGACAGATAGTAGGAGCATGTAAGTTTATGTGGGAGTTTTGTTGGAAAATAAACTTAAATGGTTTTTGTTTTTTTAATTCAGTCAAAAAGATTTAATTATGAGAGCATAATTATTAGGGAGAGCAAATAGGGGAGAAATTTACTGAACGGAAAGTAAATGGGTGAAAAAAATCGTGGTACTTAAAGCCAAATTTGGCCTCACGAAATGCTATAAAAAGGCCTCATGTATTAAATTTAAAGCCAAATTTGGCCTCACGAAATGCTATAAAAAGGCCTCATGTATTAAATTTAAAGCCAAATTTGGCCTCACGAAATGCTATAAAAAGGCCTCATGTATTAAATTTAATAGCAAAGAGAGAAATAATAACAAGAAAGAGAAGAAAAACATTTACTGAATTGGTGTGTGATAACCGGTTGAGAACTTCTTTGTCTCCTTGTCTCTCTCTCCCCCTTTGCGACACCTCCCTTGAGATTCAGAGTGAGCGTTCTATTTTGAGGTTGATATTGGAGCAACTTTAGCTTACTTCATCAATTGGTGTCAGAGCGATTTCAATTCCAACAAATTGGTATCAGAGCAGCGTTAGTTTCAACATATTGGCATTAAAGCTGCGTTCAAATTTCTACAAATATTTCTACATTATCCGGGTAGGGTGGATGTCTGGTACTTCTCCACACACGAACCACGTACATAATGTGGGTCCACCAAGCGGGTTCGTATACAAACCCCCTGGGTCTGATTGGTTGGGTACAACGTGATACACATTATCGGACACCACGAAAAAGGAAAGACATGCATGATATCATAGCGAGCATGATATCGAACGTACACGTCCATACCATCATAACATAACGGGGAAGTATCCCTATGCACATGATGTTGGGTTTTATGTCCTAAAACTCATAGTTTGTAAACAAAAACATATTCTATTTTCAATAAAGTTATTATTATTGTTTATTTAGTAAAGATTCTTATTGAATAAAGTGAACTTTACGATCATTAATCTAAATTCAATAAACTAAGAACACTCTGCTATAGTACGATTACTTGAACTATATGCAGAGACATAAGAGTTGATCAAGTTCAAGTATATAGTCAAAATGATCTATAGTACAAGGATAAGACTGAGTACCTTATTTTAGGGACACTATAGATGTGACCCACTTTTGTATATGAAATAAACAATGTGATCACTAAAATTGTACATGTGGAGACATGTGAGTGAGGGCGTTCTATGCAATGAGTATTGCATAAGATCGGACCATGAAGAAAATCACTCTCACTTTATAATGTCGTTTATTGTTGAAACTGATTTTCTTTTCATTCGATGACCTAGGTAACTCGATCTTAATCCTGAGCTAACCATGAACTCTTGTTTATTCAGAATTATCCTTAGATTTGCATGGGTGGGAGTGACTCAAGTTCGCCGACTCAATAGGCCTCCCATTTCAGGGGTAAGACTGGGTAAATGGCTGGGGACGTGGGGTGTAAGTACTAACTCTATATCTTGAACAAGGGGCCCCACCCTCTCATTGGCCTGAGAGGGATTTGGTTTACTAGTTGGACCACAAACCAATTGTTCATTAGAGGATCAGTGAGACATAAGGAACAAGAAGTAACTTCAGGGTTAAAACGGTAAATTGACCCAGCTCTAGTTACGAACAATCTGTGAAGGATCGACTTACTAATCATGATTGTATCAAATGGATAGAAATATATCTATAGTGAGGGAAGTGCAACTACTAGGCTATAGTGGAATGTCCTAGTAGTTAATGAATGTTGGTTAACAAGGTTAATAATTTAACCGGTTAATCTTGGATCGTTGGAGCCCATGATCTATAAGTCCATTAGGTCCCTCTGCTAGCTCATATCAGACTAAACCATAGAACAGTGTCTAGTGAGTTCGAAGTGTTCGACTTCAAATTAGGGAGAATGCGCTACACATATATGCGATATATTTAACCGCATTTTTGTTTCATTTACGAATTAAACAAAAAGAGAGAATCTGAGATATTTAAATAAGATTTAAATATCTTAATCAAATATGTGTCGGAATTAATTGGGATTGACATTTGAATTAATATTAAATATTAATTAAATAGTTTAATTAATTCTTTAATATTACTTTAATTTGAAATTAATAATTCAAATTGATTGTTGAATCAAAATGAAGAAAGTCAAAATGTTAGAGTTCATTTAATGGAAAAATCCATGTTAGTGGAATTTTGAGGTATCAAAATTTGGTTTAACCAAACTTGCATGCTTGCCCAATAAACCTCACAAATTTGAGTGGAATTTTGAGTGTCAAAATTTGGTTAACTCAAGCATGCATGCTTGCCACATAATCCCAAACATTTGAGTTTAGGGTTTAGAGTATCAAAATTTGGTTGATTCAAGCATGCATGCTTGCCACATAATCTCAAACATTTTGAGTGGAATTTTGAGTGTTAAAATTTGGTGATCTCAAATTTGCATGAACATGCAAACATGACTCTATAAATAAAGTGATCATAATACATGAAAGGTCTTCTTCTTGAGAAAAACCTCTCACAAACACTCTCTTCATATATACAAAATCCCTCCCAAGTTTAAGTCACTCACTAGATTCCACAATCCCGTTCTAAGGCCGGAGGATAGTGGAGAAGACACTAGTGGTCGTTCGAAACCGGTTCGTGAGGAAAAAAGAATTTGAACTACAAAATGTTAGTATTCAAACTCATTAAGTTTTAATACTTATGAACATGCTAGTTATTTACTATAATTGATGTTCTAAAAGTGCCTAAGATTCAAATTGCTTCCGCATGTGTTATATTAACACCATCACATGACACACAACATGTATGAGGTCCCTATGTCTTACCTTTCATAGCATAATACATACTACGTTCGTTTCATTCCCTTGTCGTGTTTCATAACATTAATACATACTATAATTCATTCCTTGCCGTGTTTCATAACATCAATACATACTATAATTCATTCCTTGCCGTGTTTCATAGCATGACTTAGTTAAATATTATGTAAGCATATCGTAGCTCTTCAGCCACTGCATCCATAACATGCAAAGCGCTCATCACATTCATGACAAGTCAACTAATTTCACGCATACGAAGAAAACAATTCATGGCAAGAACAGAAACACATAGGCACGATATACATCGACGTTTCACAGCAAAAATACATGGCATGATATACATCGACGTTTCACAGCAAAAATACATGGCATGGTATACATCGACGTTTCATAGAAAATATGGTGCATGCAAAGGTCACAGGACACACACCATCATACATAAACTAACTCCAATATTAAGTTACCTCTCTAGCTTTGGCCGAAGTCACTTGCGATAAGCTAACTCCAATGCCTAACTACTTCCTCTAAAACCACATTATATACATACATCGACTTTTCATAATGTAATCCAATTAGACCTTATGTCTAGTATCAAGGTAAGTTCCTATCATAAAAACTTTTCATAATAATGTAACCAAGTAGACCGTATGTCTATATCAAGGTAAGTTCCTATCATAAAATATATTTTTAGCAATTAAGAGTTACAATGACCTCAGATAGCTAAAACAAGGTGGAAATGGCTGCAGAAGGATCGAGAACCTAGGAATCGGTATATTATTTGTATACCGAGCCACGAAGCCGAGCCACGACACCGAGCCGAGCCGATGCAGCCGAAGTACCGAGCCGACAAGCCGAGAAGGTCACTGGCGGCGCACGGCTTCTAGACGCGGGCTGGTATCGCTGGTCTTGGGCCGGAATGGGTCGTGGCCCAGAGTCAGTGTCTGAACGCGGACTGCAAGGCACGGGCCGAAACAGCGGGCCGCATGTTGGCTGAAGCGAGCTCGCGGGTACCCGAAGAACCCGACCCGCGATCAGCTGCTTTGTCTTCCTCAACGGAGAATCTCGACAGACCCTAATCGCGGAACTCGACTGCCGTTGCTGAAACCGCCGTCTTCCGTTCGTCCTTGACGGTGCGTCTGTCCCTCTTGTTACGAAGTACCCCGGCGTTGGTTAGCTCCTACCTAAGAACTCACAAAGGTCCGAAGCCTCGCGACGTTTTCGATTCCTCACCTCAATCTTTCTGCTCCTCTCCCACAGGTACAACAGCGGCTCAAAAGGAAAGGAGTGCCTCGCCGGAAATCTCGCGAATCCGACGAGATTTCAGGCGTTTTTTTTTTGAAACTCGTATCGTTACAATTTCCTTTATTGATGACAGGTATTGGCTTACCCGGAGTGGAGATGAAAGTAAAAATTTTGAGTATCCATTGCATATCTGTTTTCATGTCCATTCTCGAAACATCTGTTGTATATTGATCGACTCTGTCGTACTTATTCCTAATTGAAAGGCAGCAAAATCTCACTATTGGGCTTTTGGTTTTTGTCCTCCTTAATGTTGAGAAATCAGTAATTATGTTTTCATATTAGTTTGTGCCCCTTGATTGATTGATCGATCCATATGTTTTCAAGCTTAAAAATCAAATATGAAAGTTGGACGTGGATATGATTAACAACTTCATGTTCATCTTAATCCTTTTTAATCCTAAATGGTTGGGCTTGGTGATGAAGCCCCTATTTTGGATAGGAAGAAGAAAAGGTTCTACTGGAAAGGTTTGCAAAACAAGGCCCTCAGTTCATTCAACCTAATGGTTGCAATAATGTTGTGATTGCTCAATTACTCTCTTTCGTAGTTTCAGGTATCTTTTTATTCTTACCACTGAGGAATTTTCTGTGTTCTCCATGACTTATTTTTGTTGATGTCTTAACATGTGCTTTTGGATCTCCTTTTTATCATCATTCTGGATCAACTATAATTACCCCATTCCAACTATGTACATTTCAGTACCATATCTCTGCTAGCTGTTGTACAATATTCTGTCTGCATCAACACATTAGAACTGGTATCTTTTAATCTGCCATATATGCAATTACATTTTCCTTGACCCAGACTCCTCTGCAAACGTGTTTGGTGTCTAAAAAGAGTACGCTCCCATTTTTCTTTTCTCACATTTCCTTCTGTTGAGTATAATTAAATTAACCATTCCCTTCTGTAAAATATAGGTGGCATGCTGTTGCATCATGGACTTGGAATGCTCAAGATGAAACATGTGGAATTTGTAGGATGGCTTTTGATGGTTGTTGCCCTGATTGCAAACTCCCCGGGGATGATTGCCCATTGAGTGAGTTAACTAGCTTTGTCTTCCTAACCTCATATACTTTCTTTCCTGCCACAAATAATTGCACCGCACAGTTTAGCACAGATGATTTGTGATGCTTAATATCATGTGTGAGTGTGTGTGTATTTAACTCACATACATGCAAGAGAGCTTAAGATACCATTTAGTTGGTTCTTTAATTAACAAGAAAATGAGGCTGCACCCTGTTCTAATTCCGGATTGATAACCATGTTTGGATCTAGTTGGTTCTTTAATTATCTCACTTCCCTTTAAACGTTTTTTTTTCTTGAACAAGATGGTAATGCCCCTCATTCAGTTTTTCTTTAAATGCAGTTTGGGGTGCATGCAACCATGCTTTCCATCTTCATTGCATCCTTAAATGGGTGAATGCACAGACTTCTCAGGCTCATTGCCCCATGTGCCGCAGAGAATGGCAATTCAAGGGATGAGAGCACAATTGTATTACTTTATTTACATTACATTTGTCCAGCGCATGACTTGATTGAGAATTGAAACAGAGCATGTGTTTTCTCGTGTGCTTGAATTTTTAAACACTTCTAGTTGGACCTTTCTATATGGAATGTGAATGGTCAAAGTTCCATCCTACTAGGTTTAGATGATATGTGAAAAAATCTAGTTTAAACGTACCTCATCTCTATCCATTAGTAAAGCCAAGCACTCCTGCGGGTAGTCATTGGAAAGGGTTTCATATTCCAAATTTCAAAATTATAAATACCTTAATCACTTCTGAAAAGGTGATGAAGAAACTGGACAGCTTTCTAGAGGAGGGAGATGAACCTTATCCAATTCCGTTCTTTCTAAGTTTAACTTGCCAAATTTATTTCTGTGATTGATAACAAGATGGGATTTTCTATGGGAGGGCAATGAAGATGGCAAGCCCAAACATCTTGGTAAATGAAACTTGGTTCTAAAAGCCACTGATGGGGGACTTTTAATGGGTGGTTTGAAGGTCAATAAAATAGGGATGGAGATTTTTCCATGAGTCATCCTCTCTTTGGCGGTAGGTAATTGCAAGTATACATGGCCTTGATTCTTTGGGATGGCATACTATTGCTAAGAGAAATACTTGTTCTTGCAGCCCTTGGGTCAACATTTCTAAGCAACGTAAATCGGTGAAAGATATAAGTTTGGTATGATGAGCTTGTTTGTTCAGGATTAATCAGCAATTCTATCTGACATGATTCGAATTAGTTTATTTCCAGTTACCTATAGTTATTTGATTCAGCGTGATTGACAAGCTCAGCTGCTTCCTCTATATTGACCTCAATTTCTAATGTCATTGCTCCAAACTTATCTGACAAAAGTTAAGCTTGTAGGACAGACAATTGCGCAAAACAAATTTCCAATAGCATGATATAGCTTTTGCAGCATCAGCTAGAGCTTGCCATTTCAAACCAAAAGTGAACATTATCCCTCTCCTTGCTTCTTGCTTCTAAGAGTGAAGATTATCCTCATAGACCAACACAAGTTATTTTGCTTACTCCTTGATGGCCCTGACATTCCTTTGCGACATGACCACGTTACTTCTCACTTCTTAGAGCAAAGACTCACAGACCAACACGAGTTCTTTCAGCATGCTTTGTCCTCATTTGCATGCATTTTTTTAAAATTTCCCAGAGGCTATCCAATATAAAATTGTTCAAAACAAAGCACACTTAACTATTGAGTTTCTATAATTGAGCCTTCGAAAAGGAAGGTGCACCTTGTTGGTATAGGTAGTAATTTTCAATTCTTTTAAGCCTTCCTTAGTTATTTTATTCTCAACATTGCTCTCATTCGGATGTGGTCGCAGTTCATTCATATACCCCTCATTTACTTAGGTGTCACATGCCTAGACTTTAATACTATTTGTAATGACCCATGCCCAAAAGATTAGGAATACGAATTTGGCGCCTAATGACCTCGGCATTCCATTGCATCCCATGCGACATAGTCACGTTACTTACTTCTCGTTGCTAAGAGTGAAGACTAGGCCCATAAACAAACACAAGTTCTCCTAGCATGCTTTTTCATCACTCACATGCATGTTAGGAAAATTCCAAGGAAGTCACCCAACATTGAATCGCTCCAAGAAAATCACGCTTAATTATGAATTTTTTATAATTGAGCCACCAAAAAAATGTGTACCTTGTTGGTTTAGGTAGTTACTTTCTATTTTTTTAAATCTTTCTAAGTCATTTTATCCTTAGGATCGTTCTCATTTGAATGTGGTCTCAGTTCATTTATGTACTCTTCCTTTACTCAGGTGTCATGATATTTAAACATAAAGAATAGTATTCTTGTTTTGGGAAAGAAGAGGTAGAATGACGTCTCCAAAAATGGTGCATACTCCCGCAGGACAGTTGAAGCAAGGCTAGTTGGTGAAATCTAGGTTCAAGCAAAGTGATGGAACTGCCCTTCATCTGCAATTAGTAAAGGAGTCCTCCAGGGCCCTCCACTCTGTTGCAGAGGAAGAGGATATGGGCATGTTATTTGTTTTACAGCACCCTTCAGCCATATTTCCTGCTCAAGTTCAACAGCCTTTTAGAAATAAAAGGGACATAAACATCAAGAACAGAATATTGCACAATAAGTGAATATGCCTTCAAGCTTCTACATAAATATATGCTTGATCTAGCTGATCCTACAAATAAGAGCGCAAACTATATTAAAGTTGGTCATTTTGTTGTTCACCTTTAGTTTGGTTTATGGTTTTTTGTTGTTGGGAGTTTGACTTTCTTACATTGTGCAAAAGCGTTCGTGAAGGGGGGATGAAGACTCGTATAGTCTTTTACTTTGCATGGGAGTGACGTTGTGAGGCAAAACGTAAACTCTCATTATCTTTGTGAAGTTCTGCCTCATTTTCTCACTGACAATGTGATGAAGGATTATACAGCATGGCTCCACAATGCCGCCCATTATATATATATATATTAAGTTAACAAAGCTTTTCTTTATTATATTTCAAAAATTATAGTTTTTGTTTACACTCCCTAGATTCAGTGACACTATGACCTTACACATATGATTGTTCAAAAGAGATGACGTCATATGGTCTGAATAGGTATGATGAGGTCGTGCTTCAATCCAGGATACTAGTCATTTACTACTGTGGCATATAAGTTTACCAAGTATGGGAATAGAAAAGTTGGTCCACCCTGAGATGAGATCTGTTGTTCGGAAGATCTGCGGCACTAGAATCCAATGAACAACTTTCAATCTCCAACAGGGTCTTCTGACATGCAAGAGAACCACTTGGAACTTCAGACATTTCTAGAAGATCAAATAGCTATAGTAGTAGTGAAAAGACAATGTTAATCCTCATTCTAAGGATCCCAGCCTTTGTTGAAGCAAGAACCCTCGAATCAAAGAAATTAACACTTTCTTATACAAAATTTGTATCGACCAAGAGATAATGCTAAAATTAGAATACCTTTTAAGATTAGAAGCAAGATTTGAAATCTTGTTCTAATTTGAGTCACTCCACCATCGAATTTGATCACAACTTGATTGAATAACTCAGATGTAATCTACCACAAGAATTTCTTGAAAACTTAGAAAACTTAGAAATTACAAAGATGAAACTCAAATTCTAAGGGGAAAATCTTAACTAGAATCTTTAAAAAAAAAAGCTAGGCTATTTTGACGAGTAACTTTCCACCCTTTGGCCCACTACAATAATTTATGGAATTAAAATAATAAATAAAGTTTTATAACAAATTATCAATCAAGTGCTATTTATAGCAAGTTCATCCGCTACTTCAACGTACAAATATTCACTTCTAAAGCTCCAAATGGTGTTTCTTCAATCGAATCAGTTTGTAACACATGAAATAATAGTTGAATCGAGTTTGTCAAATTCTGTAGATGAAGAATAAAAATACTTGTTGAATCTTCTTGGCTTTGGATCGTGTAATAGATTCAGTTGGAATACCGTGATCCTTATCATCTTCCCCTTCTTCAAAAGGATTCGTTCTCGAATCAGGAAAATCATCACCTACATAAAAAAGACTCAAGTTGGCAACATTGAAAGTAGAATGTATTGAAAATTCTCTCGAAAAATCAATTTTGTAGGTGTTGGATGTATCTAAACCCAATCCAAGGTTATCTCCTCTTGGATGTAACTTTGTTTTCTTTTTGAGTTGGGAATAACTTCTTGCGAAAATGTATCCAAACCCAATCATCGATTTGAAAAATTATTTCCTTTCGTCATTTATTAATTCTTAAAACAACTTTGAAATCTTGTTTTTCAATTCTCTTCTTCACCTATTTGTGCACCGTATTGATCAAATATGCCTTACTTGTGATGACTTAACTCACAAAGGAATAGTGAGCAAATCAAGAGCACAAGTGGATTAAATCCATAAATAACTTTAAAAGAAGAACAATGAGTGATATTATGAATTGCTCTATTATATGCAAGCTCTCCAAATGACAAACATTCGTCCTAAAACTTAATATTATTAGGAATATTAGCCCTAAGCAACGCTCCTAATGTTCTATTAATCACCACAGTTTGCCCATCATTCTGAGGATGACATGTAGTTGAAAATAACAATTTGGTACCAAATTTACCAAACAATACTTTCCAAAAGTGTCTTGAAAATTTAACATCTCTATCACTAATAATAATTTTGATGATTCCATGTAATCTTACTACTTTCCCAAAGAACAAGTCAGCAACATGGTTTGCATCACCTGTCTTGAAAATGAGCGGTCTACCATAACAAGAATACTATTTTTTTTCCTTTTTTGTATGTGACAAATCAAGAACAAAATCTATAGATATATTAGTCCAAGGTTTGTTAGGTACATTCAAACGTGTATACAATCCATTTGATCGTGATATAGATTTAGCTTATTTACATTAAAACATTGGCTACAAAACTTATGAATATCGTGCTTCATCTTTGGGCAAAAGAAGTGTTCATGCAACACATTATAAGTTTTATTAGTCTCAAAATGTCCCATTAAGTCACGACCGTGTGTTTCTTCTTATCCAGACAAATCTCTTATAGAGTATTTAAGAATACAAAGTTTACTTTTCTTAAATAGAAATTCATGAAACACATAATAATCATTCACCGCATTTATTGCCAGACAAGATGCATAAATAGTTCCAAAATCCTAGTTATCTCTATGTAATTTGTGATATGCTCAAATCTAGAATTTTTGTTAAGAGAAGTAAAGAAATTGTACTTTCTAGATAATGCATTAGCTACTACCTTCTAGATAATGCATCTAACTACCATATTATCTTTACTTTGCTTATATTTAATGACATACATAAATGTTTCAATAAACTTCCCCCACTTTGCATGTCTACGACTCAGTTTGCTTTGACCCTTAAGATACTTCAAGCATTCATAATCAGAAGATATCATTTTTCGCTAAGTCATTCAATGGTGGAGTTATCGTGCTAAAATCTTTTATAAATTTCATATAGAAGCTAGCTAACCCATGAAAATTTCGAACTTCACTTGTATTTTTTGAGGTTGGTCAATCCCTAATTGCTTTAACTTTCTCTTCATCTACTCAAACTCCATGTTTACCAACTATGAAGCTAAGAAAGTTAACTTTTTCCATACAAAAACTATACTTATTAA